GTGTAGGACTTTCAAGGGATGAGGACTGCTGGAAAGTAATTGGGTCACTGGGAGTGCTGCCCTAACAGGGTTTTTGTGGAAAGGTGGTTTTTGTGGAACCATAGTGAATTCTTTTTTTTTTTTCTTATGAACTATTTATTTATTTAGTTAATTTTGGTATCAGTGATTGGACTTGGGACATTGTGCTTGCCAGGCAAGTGCTTATGCCACTGAACTATCTCCCCAGCCCTTCACTTATGCTTTTTTTTTTTCTTGCATTGTCTTCATAGTGAATTCTTGCAAGAAGATTGCTATCAAAAAACAAATCAAACCCTTCCTGACTCTGGCTTCCTAAGTCACTTGTGATCTCTTCGACATACACACACAAGATCTTGTTCTGATGCCATCTGCCATAATCTAACATAGGTTGGGGTCCCTTGCCAGAACCAGCACCTGTACCTCCTCCAAAACTGGGAGCTAAATAAATTTTTTTCTTTAAAAAGTACCCACACTCAAGTATTTCATTACTGTAGCTTGAAGCAGGGTACTGCAGGGGATGAATAAGGAATGGGCCCCTGCCTCGATCCTGGCCCAGAGCATAGGTAGTGCTGCTTATCATTTTCCCTGTTTATGGGCCAGAAGTAACACACTCCTCCAGAACCTTCTGTTATAAAAGCAAATGAATAGTTCAGTGTGCCAGTGTGGAGGCTTCTGGGAAATTTTCCAAGCAAGAATCCTTCCATCAACTAGAAGAAGACGTGCTTCACAAATTGTCACTAAAATTCCTAGACAGCAGTCCTGTACGGACTGGGCCATTCTTTTCACCCAAGGTTAATTTTATAAATTACGAGGGAGAAAAGAAAAGCATGGGATGTTCTGCAGATGTTTTGTAATATATCTTATGTCATGAATATTGTAACACATCAATGAGAGAGATGCTAGCGAACTGCAAAGGCTGATCTGTTAGCATGTCATGAAATTGATTCATGGGGGTCTCACCCAGTCTTAAAGAACCAAAGCCAAAACCAAAACCAAAACTGAAAAACAAAGTAAAATGGAAAACATCCAGAACAGAGCAATAGGATGAGCTAGAAGAAGAATACCAGAACGCTGTGCATACAATAAGAACAACTTATTCTATGAAACTGGATGATGGAATAAAATACATTTTTTCTCCCTGTGGGCATGGTTGAACAATTTGAAAGCATTTTATTAGAGAATGTGAAAGATCTGTTGTTCGGTGCCAAAATGAGAAAAGAAATCTGAAATTGGATGCATTGCCAGTCAGGGGTGGAGCTAATCCCCTTAGCTTGCTTCTCTTAGGACAGATGAAGGGGTAGATAGGTGAGGAATTGGAGCACCTGTGGCCCACAGCTTTATTAAAAAGTTACTTTAGGGTCCAGTATGAATGGAGTCAAGGCAATCTATATTGGCTTTCTGTCCTCGTATAACAAATTACCATAAATTTAGTGACTGAAAAAATATGCATTTATCACCTCCATTGCTCTGGGCAGATCTGAGCAAAGGTAGAGCAAAGTTCAATGTTCAGGGTCTTACAGGATTGAGAGGGCCACAGCTGAGGACAAGTACTGGCTCAGCTTTGCTTGTATAACTGATTATCTTCAACAGCAGGATCCAAGGCATCCCCTGAAGGGCCTTTTAGCCCCAAATGCTGTCCCTAGCCCAGTCTAACTCTCACTAAAATTAATTTCTTTTTGCTGGGGATGTGGCTCAGGGGTTGAGCACTTGCCTAGCATGTGCAAGGCCCCGGGTTTGATCTCCAGCACAAAACAAATTGAAAAGAAAATCATTCTACACCTTTTCTCCAAGAGCCCCTTACAACTCTAAGTAAGTAATTATTTGAGCAATTCTTTAATAACTCCTCCATGAGAAATTAAGCCAACCTATAATGGACACACAATGTGAGCAGGAGGTAAACATCTGTTGTTCTAACTCAATGGAGATGTTTGTTACTACAACATAACACAGGCTATTTTGACCTAGAAACGTTAGAAGAAAAGAACACGTGTTGCATGTTTGGCTACTGAGGGATCATGTGCTTGCGGGGATTTTGGGCAGAAGGACTTCAATCTTGCTGCTCAGAGCAAGTGACAGACCAGTAGACTCCGCATCACCCAGAAGGTGGTTAGAGCCACTGAACCAGATTCTGTGTTTTACCCATACCTCCATGTGATTCACACAGAGAGCGAAGTTTGAGGCGCAGTGCTCCCCAGGCAGCTGGAAGTGAAATTCTGAAGCCCCTGAGCTCACAGTGTAACAGGGACAGCAGCCCACACACTGCAGGTTCTCCATGAGTGGTCCCCGGACCAGCAGTTGCTCTGCCTCTCAGGGACTGCTTAGAGCTGCAGGTTCTTGGGGATCGACCAAGAACCTGCTCAATCTCAAACTCTGTAAGTGTGGCCCAGGGTTCTGTGATTTAAGTCTTGCAGGGGATTCTCATGCATCCTAATGCTCAAAAACTGCAGCTGGACACGAGTAGGAGTTAAAGTTTAGGTAATTCTCTTCCTCTTTGACAAATGAAGAAACAAAGACAAGGACAGATACGACATGGCTCCCTTGGGAGGAGACCATCTGCTTTCTGATGGTATTCTTAGGATGTGTCTTTCAGATGCACCCCAAAAGAACAAGGCCTGGCCATCCACTGTCCTCACCAGGCTGAAAACAGTCCTTCTCCTGCCACTTCCATCAGAACGGGGAGGCAGCCTGAACCTCGGAAGCACTCCGTGTTCCTTTTCTCTTTTGCAAAGCAGGGCGTGAGACACGAAGGAGGAAGGTGCACCTGCGGGGTGGCGCGGGACCTGTGCGTCCCTCCAGAGGCACTGCTGTCTCCTCGTGGCAACACCGTCACGTGACAGATACATCCACCTCAGCTGGAGTGGGGGTGGGCAACCCTGGCAACAGGTTAGACTCACCTTTGGAGCCTGTAGAGCTCTGAGCCAAGCCACGCCCAGCGAAGTTAGAGCCCCGTGGGGGGTGGGACCCAAGCACTAGCCCTTAAGAAAAGAAACCCCACACGATTCAACTGGGAAACTGCAGGACAGCTCCAGGGAGGGTCTTGGGTGTCAGGAGCTGCCCCTTAATGGAGCCAAGTATCATCCATTGAAGGTCAAAATGTTGGAGACCAGAATTTCCAGTTCAACTATTTCACTTTCAGGAGTTTCTTCAGAATTCAAAACTATTTGAATTGTATTACATTTAAGCTATTGCACCATAATAAATATTCAACTTCTTTCTCTCCTTCCCTCAGCCACTCCTCCCCCTTCCTTCTCCTTCCTCTTTTTCCTCTCTGCTTTCTTTCCCTCTGTTTCTCTACCTCTCACTGCATCCCAAGTCATCAATTAATCTTTTTGATTTATATAATTGCTACCAAATTTCAGAAACAAATTAGCACTTTTAATGTATTTTTCTTATATGACGAGGCGGATTGGTAGATCAATTCTTTTCAGGGAATCACTTCATTCACTACACAACCAGCCTGGTCACCATGTTGTTATTGTGGGCGCTTGGTAAAGCGAGAGCAGTTATTAGCACAAGGCAGTGTCAGCAGTTGGGGTTTGTGGTAGGGAGTCCAGTCTTTAGAAGGTGGGAAATTGATAAATACTGTGGCTGGAGGTGGGTAGGACTCCCACAGCACATGTTTTGCTTCTGACATCTGCTCTTTATTATTTTCATTTTTTTGTACATTAAGATTTACTCTGGGCTTTATATGACAATGTCATGATAGGTTAAAGGTTACTAAAATTATTGTATTGATAATATCTTTGCAGTTAGCATCAACTCCTCTTATAACATTCTTAAATACCTTTAATAATAATAAAAAAGTTAATCCACATTCTTGGTGGCAGAGAAAGAGCTGGAATATGCCTAAGAACTTACAAATTCATCAAGATTCTCCTCAACTTCAGTAATTTTGCTTTTTTAATAAGCTCCTAAGTGATGCCCACGCTGCTGATTTTCATTCTCAAAACATTCAAAGTGGAGAGAATCTCTGAATGAAAATGAGGATCAGCAGCTTGGGATCCATTGAGGAGCTCATTAAAAAGCCAACTTGGGGGCTGTCTCCCAGGGGCAGTGAGTCAGACACTGCACTGTGCCCAGAACTCCCCGGATGACCCGGAAGCATAAGAGAAGCTCCAACTCTGCCCATCCATGCTACTTGCAGCATCAAGCTGGCCGGAATCAAAGCCATACAAGAAAATTACAGAGGATCACAAACTTGAATGCTGTTTCCTAACAAAGCAGTGTAAGATCAGAATTCAAAATTAGTAGTAAACGTTTCTTTGATTATGAAACAGCTGTGAGATAAGAAAAAACAAGAGGATATGGGTGACACACATGAGCTGACCTTTCAAACCAGTGAAGTGCACCATTATAGCATCAATTCGGTTCTCATGACAATATATTAGTAGTATTGCTTTTTTTCTTGCAGTTGTCATCTATATGTTTTAAAAACTTGATGACTAAGATTATAAAGATAGAAAAATGTTTTATACCATGATCCAGATTAAACACAATCTCAGGATCAGGGAGACAGCTCAGAAGAATAAACACCTACCTGGAAATCACAGGGTCCTGAGTTCAATTCCTGGTACCAGCACCCACCGCTCCCCCCAAAAGAAAACAACTTCCTGGGGCAGGCCAAATAGCTCAGCAGAGTACAGCGCCTACAAGCAGGGGCAGGTGCTGGGAGTTTAATCTCCCAGGGCCTGCCATGTTGGCCTTACCCTCGGGGCATGAACGGCAACTGAAACAGGGTTTGGTGGCACGCACCCATAATCCCAGCACTTGGGAGGCTGTGAACAGGAGAATCACTACAAGTCTGATCGAGTAGTGAGACCCTGAACACCCTGTAACCCTTCCCTAAAAACACAAAACAAACAAACAAACAGGACCTCCATGTGCTATGCATCTCATTCGTGGACGTTGCTCACAGGAAGTGGAGCTGCTAGTTCCCTGCTCCCTATCTTGCTCTGCCCACCCCTGTCATGATCCACTCTTACCTCTTGGGGTTGCTGGTACTGAGAGGCCATGAGGAGGAAAGCGCGCTGAGCTTGGAAAGCTCCATGTACCATTTCTGCCTGTAAATAAAGAAGCAGATAGTAGTTTCAATGCTTGGGTTCCTCAGCCAATCATTACAATACGACCCAGAAATTCCACCCCTACCAGTATACCCAAGCAAGATGTAAATGTGTGTTCACGCCAAAACCTGTAAGGGAATATTCAGAGCAGCACTACTTATATTAGCCAAAATGTAGAAGCAGTCTACTACCTACAAATAGGCAATGGAGTAACAAAATGTGACGTGTCCACGCAATGACGTATTGTTCAGCCTTACAAAGAAATAAAAGTACTATCACACGCTACAACACAGATGAACTTTGAAGACATTATGCTGAGTGATGGAAAACAGTCACAAAAGAGCACATTTGAATGACCCCACTGATAGGAAATGTCCAGAATAAGCAAATCTATAGAGACAAAGATTAGTGGTTGCCAGGGGCTGGCACAAAAGAGACAGGGAGGGAACTGTGGATGGGAATGAGATTCTTTTGGGACAGACAAGAATGTTCTGGAATGAATGGTGATGATTTGACAACTTGGGGATGATACTGAAAATCACAGAATTGTGCCCTTTAGCAGGATGGATATCAGGATGTGAGAATTTCATCTCAACAAAGCTATTTAAAAGATTGAGCCTCAAAATGCAAAGCATATTCTTTCTTGCGCCCTCTGAGTGTGCCCCAAATCTGTTCCACACCTTCTAGTGTAAGCTAAGTATCCCGTAACTCATACCCATGATGATACGCTCGCCAGGAATCAGTGGGCTTCTGAATACTTATTAAAGTGAACCTGGAAAACATGGTTTCAGTGTCACTTGGGGTCCTGGTAGAGCAGGAGTCCACCTTGACAGAAACTTCCCCACAACAGGATGTGTGTGGGTGGGAATGGCATCCGACACAAACTGTCTCTTTCTTACCATCTTCTCGCATTGAACTAATTAAGTGTATCAAGAAAAAATATTGTGAAAAATTCATATCATGCAGGATTAGCTATTTTCAAACATTATCTCTAGTTTTAAAGAAAATTCAGTGTTTCCATAGATAAAACATATGGATATAGAATAATTTAAAAATGTAGAGCCTGAGTTTGATCCCCATCTTAACTACCACCACCACCACCAACAACAACAACAAGAACATCAAAAACTACAAAAAGGAAATAAAGAAAAAGAAATATACACAGACACTTACAAAATGGGATCATATCTAGTGCTATTTTTAATTAGCATACATTTTAATAATTAAATAGTAGCAATTAAAACGAAAAAGAACTGTTAAATTTCAAAGAAAAATTTCTGCTCTGTAATAGTACGTCCTAAATGATCAATCTAAGGTTTAACAATTACAAAATAGCAAGAAATTAGATTAATGATGTGTTTGCATTTCAAAGAACGTGTTATAACTTTAAATGGAATTGGTTGGCCTCTTGCTGAGAAAAGATGAGAATGTAATTATTCGTGCACATTTTCCACTTCTGGTCTCTTCCCTTCCATATGCTTTTGTTATTATTTTTCTTCAGCTCAATTTATGGCTTTTTAAAATTCTATCTGTAACAGCAATTTCCATAGTTGTGTGGCATTAGTTCTCACCACAGCCTCTCCACTTCTGAGGTATTCCGTTATGTTCTGTAGCTGGCTGGACCCCTTGTAACAAGTATTTCCTTCCCCAAGAACTCAGGACTGCTTTACTCTTTGGGGTTAAAGCCAGTTTCTTGCTGTCTTCGGATTCAACAACACCTTGGCAGGTTTGTAGTCTTGGGCCCTTTTCCTTCTCCTTATTGAAAGCATAGTCTAGATGGGGAAGCCGGAGCCGCCTCGGCGGATTTCCTTCCCTGGAGGAAAGTGACTTATTCTGGTACAATCTCTGAGAGTTATTTCTTTATCCTTGAGGTTTAGTATCTTAACTAAGAAATGCTTGGGTTTTGAGCATTCTATATTATATTTCTTGGAAAGATTTAGGCTTTTTTTCATTTTTTGGGGAACTTTGTTATATTTTTCAATATGTCTTTTGCTCCATTTATGAGAGTCTTTGTTCATAGAGTCTCCAATTGCTATTCTCATGTTGTGACATGTTTGAATGCCTTCCTAGCTTTTAGACTCTGTCTCTAATTTATTATCTGTCATTTGTGTTCACTGATCATGTGAATCATTTTGTATCCTTAGTAAAAAATTTTTAACTGGTCTCATACAATAAGGAGTATATATCTGCAGTAATGTTGCTTCATTCGTTAGGCTTTGACTTCTTTTATTTTCATTCTTATTGTTTTATCACCTCGAGTCTAGGCTATAAAATTACTTTTACACTCCCATCAAGTTCTAAGAGTGTAATGTATACTCTTATTAAGCCATTATGAAAGATGTTTGGTCACTTAGGTTTATTCTACTCAAAGATGCTATTGTTGGATCTGGACTGTCTCTCTCAAAAGGACCTGTATTGGAGGCATAGACCTCAGTTCTGTGCTGTTGGCTGATGGTAGAGTGTTTAGGAGATGACCCCTAGGGTGAGGCCCCCATCTGCGGGCAGCACCCTCAAAGGTGACAGCAGCACCTTTGTTACTTCTGCTCTCTCTCCCACCTCCCTTTATTCTTGGCCATGAGGTGAACATCTTTCTTCTCCATGCACAATTGAGTAAGGATATTTTGTAAACTCTACAACAAATACTTTTTAACTTGGGAATTCTATACCTAGCCAAAGTATCCATCAAGGTTTAGGACAGCATAAAAATATTTTCTGATATTCAAGTTCCCAAAAATTATTTATATTTCTTCCTTTCAAAGCTAAAAATTAATTCTACCACAAACAGAGCATAACTCATAGAAAGAAGATTTGTAGTACACGAATCAGGGAGACAAGAGAGGGCCAAAGGAAACTCTCTGGGTGGATTATACAGACTGAAGAGCCTGGGGATGGCCAGAACTGCAGGAACAGTCCAGGACAGATGCTGTCATATAATAGTAACAGATATAATAATTAATGAATGAATCAAAGGAAAAGAAAACTATTATCTGACGGCTTGAATATTTTGGGAAGAAATTTCGATTTTCTGTGGGAACTTGAAGATAATTTAGCAAGATATAGAAAAATAAGCCAGCGAAGAGTAATTAATAGTTAATGTCATATATTCTTTCTCTCCAAGATATACTGCCTTACTATACTCCAATCCATTAAAACAAGCAACCAGAATAACCTTTTTTTCTCTTAAGCTGTTTATCTCAGGCATTTTGTTGTAGTAATGGAAAGCTGACTAACACAAATAGTAAACCTCTGTCTTTTTACTTTTCATGCTGTGTTCTCTTTTGAACACACTATTGTAGCCCCCACACTGATTCTTTTCATCTTGCTCATGCTTGACCTGCCTGGTCCAGATAATTTATTATTTTCTAATAAAACAAGGGCGATTCTTTGAGTTTCTTGCTATCATATTGGAGATTAGTGTCTTTTCTTTCTGAAAAACCGTTAGAAGACAAAATACTTTACATACTCTCCTCTTTTAGGGAACATGAAATAGGAATGGGGAAAGGACGAGCTCATCAGAGACAATGAGGTAAAATCTCTGTTTCATATTGATGGTTTTGGAATGTGTTAAAGGATGCAAACCAGGACTCAGGCCACTCCCTGTAGCATATGCTTTTCTTTTTTTTTCATAATTTTATTGATAAACAAATAGCAATAAGACAGTTTCAAATCAAATCGCTAGGACAGTTTCAAAAACTAACACACTGCATACATTCTTCTTAGTGGTTAATTGCTGTACAAGATGTGGACTTGAGATCCTATTTACAAACATCATTAGAACAAATCATTCTATTCATTAAGAGAATGTAACTATATATCTATCCTAGCCACTTTGAATACACAGATACAAAATGGACATTCATCTGTATACCCTTTTTTTTTTTTTGTTAAGTTCCATTATTTGAATATTATAGGTGTGTAAACTCAGCAAAATATTCTAAAAGAGTCCAGTAGACCATAATAGCATTGGGTCTTCTGTTTAACTGGCAATGTCAGAAATTGTTGACCTGAGTCCCCCACAGCTCAACATAACAGCATGGTTTTACTTCCTATATTTCGTCTTCATACTTTTCTACTGGATGGTTAAACCAAGGTAAAGCAGGACCTATGCAACTAGAGTTGTAGCTTTTGGGTCTGAGAAGGTCAGTGAAGCATATGCCTTTTAGATGGAGGAAAGCAGTCCATCAGGGTTTCCATCCTTTCCCAAGTGCAGAACCTGGACATGAAGCTTCCCCATTCACAGAGAGAAGCAGACTATGGAGGGTTTTTTTTTTGGGGGGGTAGGGGTGGTGGTGGGGAGATCTAATTCACATTCTCTTTTCCTCACTTCATTTCTTCTTTTTCACCTAAACAGTCTTTTAAAATTATTTTTTATTTTCAAAGAGAGTACAGATAGTAATAAAAAAGAACAAATTAGAAATGCTACAGACTTCACTAAATAAAATAATACAAATTTGACAGTATTTATTGTACTGCATAGTGTTGTCTTCAAATTAGTTGTTCAGATTACCAGATATATGCATGCAAAATTGGAAAAAGAAAGAAAAAAGAAAATAAAAAGATTATAAGAAATTAAGATGAGAAAAAGGAAAACAATGAAAAAAAGACAAAGAAATGAAGCATTAACTACTCCTTTCCCTAGACCAGCAGAAGTGCACAGTACAGTTGTCCAAACCATTCTGCTTACATACATAGATATATGTCTTTCCCTAGCTCTCTGTCCTGTCCTTCTCCTAATCTCAGTAATTTCTTCCTTTTGAAGAGGTTCATTCCCTTTTCACAGTCTCTATTGCATCTTTCAGATTTTATTTACTCTTTCAGCTTCTTACACTAGGAAACAGTATGATGTTTGCACATGTGGGTCTGATTTATTTCACTTAAGAGTATGTTTTCTAGTTGCATCTATTTACTATAAAAGCCTCCAATTTATCCCTTTTTATAGCTGAAAAACACTCCTAGGGCAAGCATTTGTGGGATGGGGAAGATGGGATCACAAGAGCCAA